ATATATATATATATAAATACCACTTACATCAGAAAGCTAAAACTATTTTCTTTTTTCTTTTTGTCTATTATAACATAAAAGTTGAATTATACAAAAATTTAGCATTTAAGGTTCATGTATTTTAACAAAAAAAACGAAAAAGAAAAAGAAGAAAAAAGAAAAAGAAAAAGAAAAAGAAAAAGAAAGCCTTAAATTTGTTTAACTTAGGAAGGACATCCTTCTGTCCCGCCCATAAGGATATAATAATTGTTGAGGGCGGAACATCCCCGAGAGGTATTTCCCCTTCCATTTTGGAAACGAATATATAAAACGCGTTAAGATTTTGACTCAGTTATTAAGAAGTTACATTTACGTGACGATCTTACTCTCTTAGTTTTTTTTCTTTTCTGCTTTTTAATTTCATCAAGTACTTTTATCAAGTGATTTCGTTTACGTTCGTTTTATCATATTGTGAATCAACTTTGTGAAGTGATTTCTCCGTTCGTTCTTTTCAAGAATTATTTTATAACTGGTATATATCTATTTTACATATATATATTTTTATCTTCCTTTTATTAAATATATAAAAAAAAAACAAATAATTATCCATAACTTTTACCGGTTATTTTAGATACGAGTTAATATTTACGGAAATATATAATATATATTATATTATATTATATTATATTATAATATATAAATATATATTATTTATTATTATATATATATTATATTTATTAATATATATATTATATATATATATATATTAATAACAATATATTTGTTGTTGTTGTTGATGATTTGTTTTTTGAGTTTGAGACATGCATTCATGTTCTAAGATTTATTTATTTATTTTTTTTTTTTTTTCTGAAAAATTATATCAGAATGCTTAAAGAAAATGTGATAATCCCGTACAAATGCACATAACTTTCCAGTGTCCTTTAATGATCGAAGGGATTTCTTGTGTTCTCTATTCATATGACATTGCACTTAATGATTCTCGAATTTTTTTTTAAATAATTTTTTATGTTTCAATAATACCGCTTTTTCATTAATGATTTTCTATCAATGGGTAAAACAAACCCCCTTAATGAATCGTTCGTAAGGACCATACAATCATGGCGTCAATGTTGTGGAAAATTTGTTAATATATGAAATGACTATGTCGAGAAATAACAATATTTTTAGTTTATATATTATATTTTTAGTTATATATATATATAAAATAAAATAAAAAAAAAGTAGGATATCTTAGAACGCGCTTCTCAAATTATATTTCACGAAAGATCAATAAATGTTTCATAGAAATAATTATACAAAATTAATATTATTTTACTATTTTCACATGTTTTGTTCTACATAATTAAAATTTGACAATATATTTATTTCATTTTCTTAACTCTTATATTTACCTGCCTAATTTATTTATTATTAATGTCTATCTATCTCTATAAAATAATCAAAAGTGTTTTGTTAAAATGTCAGGATTTCTGAATTGTTTTATCATAGAAAATGTTTGAGAAATATTACCTTAGAACTTGAATGCATTTTATATTAAGGATATATTATCTATCATATACATTTAAATATATTTCTGGAATATATAAATTTTATCATTTTCTTTTGTCCACGTTAGATAATTTAACGTTACTTAGATTAAATTTAAAAATTATCAATATCTCTATATTAATTCGAAAATGGAATAATAAATTTATATATAATTAATAATAAAAATTTAGAGAGAGAGAGTGTGTATATGTGGTATAAAATATGTATTTATGTTATAGCTTTCTATTTTTACTCAAAAATCGAAGAATAATGGATTGCAGAATTCCTACACCCGAATCATCATCTACAAATGTACCTAATCCAACTAAATCATGTGTAGAAATGGTTTCAGTAGGTTGTTCTACTGATGATTTGCATAGTGTAACTAAATTTTATATTTACAATTAAAATTTACTTGTTTTATATATTTAAATGTAATTTATTACATGAGGTAATCGATTTATTACAGGACGATTATGAAGCATATGAGCCAGAAACCTGTACAAGAAATAAATTAGTTTTACGAGCTGTAATGAATATAGCAAAATTAAGAAGGAGAAGATCAAGACGAGTGGAACGGAAGCCTTTACGCAATGTAATAATTATAATAGAATTACACTAATGAATTATACTTTCAAATTAAATTTATCTAAGATTATGAATTTTATATAGAACAATATATACATATATATAAAATCATTAAAGCAATATATATATAAACTTATTAATTTTTAATAATATTATTAAGTTTTACATTTTATTTTAATAATATTAATAATTTTAATAATATTATGTTTTACAGGAGGAGAATAAAATTTTACATAATATGCAGAAGTTAGAAATTACAAATAATTCTACAAACAAAAAAAAGGGTAATGAATTATCCATAGAGGAACAAAATATAGTAGAGGTATTATAATCATAATATTTACTAAGAAAATTTTTACAAAGAGCATGAAATCAGATATATTTCCCCTTTTCTTTTTTTTCAGATTAGACAGAAAATCGAAAATATGAAGATTTCTCAGTAAAATGAAAAGTTTTCATAAATTCATGGGCGAGTTGTAAATATATTATTATATTTTTGATGTATAATACAATTACAATCTTTTATAAATTTGTATTATATAAATAAATATTTCTAATAAAATATAAGATACACACATATAAAATTATGTACATTATTTTTTGTAAGAATGCTACAATAAATAAAATAAAAATAAAAATCTAGCAATAATTTTTACAAAGAGAATGAAATCATTAGATATGTTCCCCTTTTTCTTTTTTTCAGATTAGAGAGAAAATAGAAAATATGAAGATTTTTCATTAAAAAGGAAAGTTTTGATGAATTTATGAACTAGTTGTAAAAATATTATTATACTTTTGACGTATAATACAATTACAATTTCTTTTATAAATTCGTATTGCATAATAAAAAAAAATATTTCTAATAAAATATAAGATACACACATACATAATAATGTACATTATTTTTTGTAAGAATGATACAAAAAATAAAATAAAAATAAAAATCTAGCTCTAATTTTTGCAAAGAGCATGAAATCAATAGATATGTTTCTCTTTTTCTTTTTTTTCAGATTAGAGAGAAAATAAAAAATATGAAGATTTTTCATTAAAAAGGAAAGTTTTGATGAATTTATGAACTATTTGTAAAAATATTATTATACTTTTGACGTATAATACAATTACAATTTCTTTTATAAATTCGTATTGCATAATAAAAAAAAATATTTCTAATAAAATATAAGATACACACATACATAATAATGTACATTATTTTTTGTAAGAATGATACAAAAAATAAAATAAAAATAAAAATCTAGCTCTAATTTTTGCAAAGAGCATGAAATCAATAGATATGTTTCTCTTTTTCTTTTTTTTCAGATTAGAGAGAAAATAAAAAATATGAAGATTTTTCATTAAAAAGGAAAGTTTTGATGAATTTATGAACTATTTGTAAAAATATTATTATACTTTTGACGTATAATACAATTACAATTTCTTTTATAAATTCGTATTGCATAATAAAAAAAAATATTTCTAATAAAATATAAGATACACACATACATAATAATGTACATTATTTTTTGTAAGAATGATACAAAAAATAAAATAAAAATAAAAATCTAGCTCTAATTTTTGCAAAGAGCATGAAATCAATAGATATGTTTCTCTTTTTCTTTTTTTTCAGATTAGAGAGAAAATAAAAAATATGAAGATTTTTCATTAAAAAGGAAAGTTTTGATGAATTTATGAACTATTTGTAAAAATATTATTATACTTTTGACGTATAATACAATTACAATTTCTTTTATAAATTCGTATTGCATAATAAAAAAAAATATTTCTAATAAAATATAAGATACACACATACATAATAATGTACATTATTTTTTGTAAGAATGATACAAAAAATAAAATAAAAATAAAAATCTAGCTCTAATTTTTGCAAAGAGCATGAAAACAATAGATATGTTTCTCTTTTTCTTTTTTTTCAGATTAGAGAGAAAATAAAAAATATGAAGATTTTTCATTAAAAAGGAAAGTTTTGATGAATTTATGAACTATTTGTAAAAATATTATTATACTTTTGACGTATAATACAATTACAATTTCTTTTATAAATTCGTATTGCATAATAAAAAAAAATATTTCTAATAAAATATAAGATACACACATACATAATAATGTACATTATTTTTTGTAAGAATGATACAAAAAATAAAATAAAAATAAAAATCTAGCTCTAATTTTTGCAAAGAGCATGAAATCAATAGATATGTTTCTCTTTTTCTTTTTTTTCAGATTAGAGAGAAAATAAAAAATATGAAGATTTTTCATTAAAAAGGAAAGTTTTGATGAATTTATGAACTATTTGTAAAAATATTATTATACTTTTGACGTATAATACAATTACAATTTCTTTTATAAATTCGTATTGCATAATAAAAAAAAATATTTCTAATAAAATATAAGATACACACATACATAATAATGTACATTATTTTTTGTAAGAATGATACAAAAAATAAAATAAAAATAAAAATCTAGCTCTAATTTTTGCAAAGAGCATGAAAACAATAGATATGTTTCTCTTTTTCTTTTTTTTCAGATTAGAGAGAAAATAAAAAATATGAAGATTTTTCATTAAAAAGGAAAGTTTTGATGAATTTATGAACTATTTGTAAAAATATTATTATACTTTTGACGTATAATACAATTACAATTTCTTTTATAAATTCGTATTGCATAATAAAAAAAAATATTTCTAATAAAATATAAGATACACACATACATAATAATGTACATTATTTTTTGTAAGAATGATACAAAAAATAAAATAAAAATAAAAATCTAGCTCTAATTTTTGCAAAGAGCATGAAATCAATAGATATGTTTCTCTTTTTCTTTTTTTTCAGATTAGAGAGAAAATAAAAAATATGAAGATTTTTCATTAAAAAGGAAAGTTTTGATGAATTTATGAACTATTTGTAAAAATATTATTATACTTTTGACGTATAATACAATTACAATTTCTTTTATAAATTCGTATTGCATAATAAAAAAAAATATTTCTAATAAAATATAAGATACACACATACATAATAATGTACATTATTTTTTGTAAGAATGATACAAAAAATAAAATAAAAATAAAAATCTAGCTCTAATTTTTGCAAAGAGCATGAAATCAATAGATATGTTTCTCTTTTTCTTTTTTTTCAGATTAGAGAGAAAATAAAAAATATGAAGATTTTTCATTAAAAAGGAAAGTTTTGATGAATTTATGAACTATTTGTAAAAATATTATTATACTTTTGACGTATAATACAATTACAATTTCTTTTATAAATTCGTATTGCATAATAAAAAAAAATATTTCTAATAAAATATAAAATACACACATACATAATAATGTACATTATTTTTTGTAAGAATGATACAAAAAATAAAATAAAAATAAAAATCTAGCTCTAATTTTTGCAAAGAGCATGAAATCAATAGATATGTTTCTCTTTTTCTTTTTTTTCAGATTAGAGAGAAAATAAAAAATATGAAGATTTTTCATTAAAAAGGAAAGTTTTGATGAATTTATGAACTAGTTGTAAAAATATTATTATACTTTTGACGTATAATACAATTACAATTTCTTTTATAAATTCGTATTGCATAATAAAAAAAAATATTTCTAATAAAATATAAGATATACACATATATAATTATGTACATTATTTTTTGTAAGAATGATACAAAAAATAAAATAAAAATAAAAATCTAGCTCTAATTTTTACAAAGAGCATTAAATCATTAGATATGTTTCTCTTTTTCTTTTTTTTCAGATTAGAGAAAAAATAGAAAATATGAAGATTTTTCATTAAAAAGGAAAGTTTTGATAAATTTATGAACGAGTTGTAAAAATATTATTATACTTTTCACGTATAATACAATTACAATTTCTTTTATAAATTCATATTGCATAATAAAAATATTTCTAATAAAATATAAGATACACACATACATAATTATATACATTATTTTTTGTAAGAATGATACAAAAAATAAAATAAAAATAAATGTCTAACTTACAAACAATATTTACTTATTATGTTTCTCTGATAATTCTGCTAATAATGCATAAGATTCTTCTTTATGATGTTGCTTTATATGATTTCGTAAGTATCTTTTTTGTCCGAATTTCATGCCACAACCTTTACAATTAAATGGTTTTTCTTGATTATGAGTAGCGTGATGTCGCATGACCTCTCCTTTAACTGGAAACGACTTACCACAAATTTCACATGAAAACGCTTTTACACCTGTATGAGTTGTTTCATGATTATTCAATCGTTGCCTACTTCTAAAGTATTTACCACAATATGAACATTTATGAGGCTTATAATTAGTATGTACACGATTGTGAATGTATATAGAATTTAAAGTACGAAATGTTTTGGGACAGTGTTTACAAGCATATGGTCGTTCTCCCGTATGTATTCTTCTGTGATCATCTTTTGCACCTTTATTAGCAAATGCTCTACCACAAATGTCACATGGATATTTTTTCAAACCTTCATGAACGTCTCTGACATGACGTGCTAAGTCTTGTTCGATACGATAACATTTTCCACACAATTCACATTTACATGGACGTTTTCCGGAGTGTACCCTCATATGACGCAAAAAACCACGCTTTGTGAATATAACTTTTTTACATAATTCACATTTATATGAAATACGATTGTTAATAATTTGCTTTGCTTTGTGTATTAACTCTGCTTCATCGCGATTCTGTGCTTGGATTATATCATCATGTAAGATTACATGTTTTTTTAATTCACTTTTCTTCTTATAACTTTTATTACATAAGTGACAAGTAAATGATAATTGTTCATTGCAAGATACTACTTCTATATTAATTTCTTCTTCTTCTTTTTGTAATTCACCATTATTGGATTCAGTTTTAAATTCTTCCATTAATGGAATTTGATTTTCCGATCGTATATGCTTTGAAACAACATATGTGGTATTATAGTGAGCAGTTAAGTGTTCTTCGAAAGCTTTGCTTGATCCATTATATGCTAATTTGCAATGAGAACAATAATGCATTCCAGCACTGTGTTGTGCATTCATATGATTTATAAGACATTTAATATCTGTGAATATTATTTCACATTGAACACATTGAAGATATTGTAATCTTTCTATTTTTGAGTCTTCTAATTGGATTGTGGAAATTTGTATAATACTGTTATCCTCTGGTTGCCATCTAAAAAAAAACGAAACGCAATTTTTTACTAACATAAAAATAATATATTATTTTATACATATTGATTAAGGATTAATAAATTAATTACATAAAATAATTAAAATATTAGTAAGATAATATGTAACATGTGAACGTGCAGAATGCCTTTTATTTAATAAAATAATGATTATCATATAAGTTATTTAATAAATTATATTTTTTTTTTGTTTTTGCTTTAATATTGCTAAACAGTATTTAATTGCAACATTATTTAATATTGAACATACCTGTATTAATTAGTTGTACATCAAATATTTATTCCACATTTAAAAATTGATCATTAATATAAAAATGTTGATGATTATAAAAATTCTGATATGTGATTCCATAGATAAGTGTAATTTCATATAAGTTAATATAATTATTACTCTTAGAATATCCTTTGTCATAATTATGTAATTCATTAAATATTATAAATTATTGACAAAGAACGAATAATATTTTCAATTCTGATTGTTGATATAATTTTTGTTTTATTTTGCATGGTTTCTTATTTTAACTTTATTTAGAAAAATAATTTTCTTGTTAAAATTTATTTTGAAAATCTTACAATACTATTTTATAAATCCACAGAAGGATCAATTAACTATGGATTTATAGATACCATAGAGTTTTTATAACTAAGTATTCTATGATTAGCTAAATAAATAAATAATTTTGTTTTTGGCGAAAAATAGGATCACGATTTTTGCATTGTCATGGTTTTTCATCAAAATTAATTACTTTATGTCATTTTGTCATTGATGTTTAATTTGAGAATATTTCTCGTATCATATATATCATCTACATATGCGATTTTTCACCTGTACGTTTAGTAATATGTATCATTAATTATGATTTAATTCTATAATTCCTGTTACAATAAGATAGATGTAAATGAGAAAATATTCGAATGAACTCTTTGAATGAGCTTATAAGCAAATAATGATGACTCTTTTTTGAATGTTTCTTTCGCTAAGATTCCATACATACGTATACGTTTGCTAGTATGTTTATCATTAAGTTTTATTGAATATTTGCTTTCGCATATGTCGCATGAGAAATTTATTATGCCTGCATAAGCCTCTCATAGATATTTTAGTTCACGCAAGACTGTTTTTCACAAAAATAATACCTAAACGAATATTCACCAATATGCATTCGTATGTGCCAAAAAAAACGTATATGTAGAAAAATGGTTTTTTTCCATATTCGTTACGATGATAGTAAACTTTCTTCTTCTTTCTCAACATTTTTTTAGATTATTCTATGACTTATAACTCAAATAATTTCTTTTCTTCTGTTTTAAATTTGCAATACATACAAAGGTAAGAATTAGACCTTTTTTTTTTTTTTTTTTTGATTTGCCATATCTGTTGGAATATTTCTATTTCTTTAGCTTCACTTATATCAGATTTCCTTTTATGAATTTCTTTATAATACATCTTAATTTGGTACAGTCTTTTTTCTTTTTTTTTTTTTTCCATTCATACCTTGTTATTTGATTGTTTATACATAGAACATCTACTTGTATGACTTTTAAGAGAAAATTATATTTTCTCTCAAAAAAATATGTTTACACAATATTTACAGATGTATTACTTCTTCGCAGATTGAGTACAGGTTTTCATTGACACAATATTACTTTCCATATCATTTTGAGGTGAGGATGTTTTTGTTCTTGTTATATCTGAATTATGTAAATTAGGAGGCAAATTATATAATTTGTCATTATTATTGTGCGATAAATTTATTTCTTCATTTTCATATGACACACTTTCTACCTTTATTTTATCATCATCTTCAGTTGTAATATAGTTATAATTTTCTTCCTTGATTTCATATGTTGTATTTAGAAAATCCGTTTATTCATTATTGCATGTTGCTAAAACAGCAGTACGAGTTGCACAGTATGCCGCAAAGGTTTTCTTCATTGTTGAACCATACCTGGAAACATAATAAACGTAGCAGATTTGAATGATTCTTTGACACTAGAATGTCAAAAAATTATCTGTGTAGAGGTAAATTGCAGTGCATAAGTTAGCCCATTTGTAGTAAGTCGACATGTCTGCTTTTAATGTGATTATTTAAATAACGTTTTTGACGAAAAGCCAACCCACATTTAACGCAAACAAATGGCTTAGTTTCAGAGTGAACAAGCTTATGCCTAACTAGTTCTGATTTCACTCTAAATCTTTTTGAACATATATCACATCCATAATTCTTCTCTCCTGTGTGTGTTGTTACATGAGCTAACATTTCTTGACGTCTACGAAATTTTTTATTGCAGTAAGTGCATGGATGTGGAAATTCATTTGTATGTAATTTGCTATGAATATAAAGTGAAGCTTTTGACTTAAATGTTTTACCACAGGAGTCACAAATGTAAGGTCTTTCTCCTGTATGTGTACGACGATGATCATCTCTTGTAGCTTTTGATGCAAATGATTTGCCACAAATATCGCACATAAAATTTTTAAGCTTTGCATGTACATCTTTTAAATGTCTCGAAAGCCCACCAGAATCACGAAATTGTTTTCCACATACATGACAAGTAAATGGTCTTTCATCTTTATGTATCCTCATGTGCCTTAAATATGAATCTTTTAATTTAAAAAACTTTCCACATTCAATACATTGATATGATTCTTGTGTATCAGAAAAATTTTTTTGTTTCTTTATTTGCTCATTAGTGTCTTTAGTATCATTTAAGGAAGTTTTACATATCTTTGTTTTCTGTGATTCATTATTTACACTTGGAAGAAATGCTACCATACATGTATTTTGTTCTCGATCTAGAATTTTGGCATTATTTTGTTTGTATTCTTCACAGATTTCTCCTTTAACATCTGTATCATTATTTTGCTGTAGATCAGCTATAGAAGGATGTTCAAGCGTTGTATCCATTACAGCAATCCAAATAGAACCACAATCTCCACCCATATTAGATTTCTTTTGCTGTAGCTGGCATCTTTTTTTATATGGCTTCCAAAATATATTGTGCATTTCAAGGAACATTTTAAATGGTGTCCGGTTGCTACTGGACCTGGAAAATAGTCGAGGCTTGACTCCAGATTTGTAGCTATATTTGAAGAATGCAGAAGGTGGGCATTTTTCAACCCCATAATCATGGCACATGAAGAGTTTTTTTTTCAATATGAGCAAAGTCAAGCTTCTGTCATATCCAAAATGTTTATTTTGTCATAAAACATTTTCACTTCCTTTTTCTATTTTAATATTTTGATGTGGGTAATAACACTGATAAATGTGTTTATGTAGGAAGCATCGGTGTTATTATATTTTATTAATATAATTTTAGTTGATATTATAACTATGTTAGTGTTTAAGGCATTTTACCTGCACGTTCAACTAATTCTACTATATTATTTATATAATAATTATTTAAATATTTACAATATATAATTGTTATGTTGTGAGAAATATAAAAGACTAATTAATCTCTAAAGTAGATTTGTGAAAAGAAAAAAAAAAATATATATATATATATGTATATTACAGAAAGGAATTTTCTAAATTATAATAAAGAACTATTACCTGTTTGAATCATTAGCAGCTTCCTTGCTTTCATATGCCTCATTTTTAACTTCACTTTCTTGACTGGTCTATAATATTAAACATACGTCATAATATAATGTCCATATTTAATAAATAATAGATAGAAGTTTTTAAACTATACTTACAAAAACTTTTTCTGTAACATGAGATACAGTAGTTTCTGGCAGAGTTACTGATTCATCTGTTGACTGTGGTTGAAAGTACTAAATAAAATTGGTAAATATTTTTTAAATAATTCATGCTTAATTTATACTTATATAAACTGTTCTTCTTCTTTTTTTTTTTCTTTTTCTTTTATTGTATAATCAAGATAACCATTAAGACAGCAATTTGTTTGAATATAAATTTCCATTTGATATACTTTCAAAAAATTTTACCTGTTTGTTTTGAGATGAGGTTTGTATCTCAAGCAATCGGCGTTCTGCACTTAAACATCCTTCAGCTAATTCATGCCATGCTAATAATGTAGCTGCACAATGGTAACATAATTGCAAAGGTAATGTGTCATTCTCAGAAATCTATAATATAATATTATAGCTAATATAATAATATAGTATATAATATTAGTAGATAATTTAATGTACAATATATATATATATATATATGTATATAAATATACATATACCTACATGTATAGGTAAATATTTATGTATCTTGTTACATAGTGCATGTTCCATGCCTTCTCCTTCAAATATTGGAATTAAATGATCATTTACATTAGCACAAATTCTACATAATCCTGTCCATGATATCTTTTCTAAGGATTCATTTAGATTACATACTGAATTATCATTTGTAACATCTATATTTCTATGATGTTCATTTTCAACATCTGTTACTAAAAAAAATTCTTCCTCCTCTGGCTCCAATTCATTATGTTGATTTTGATTAACTATATTTTTTACTGTTTGAAGCAAGACCGAATCATCTCCACAAGTATCTAATATAACTGAACTCCCAGTCTCCATTGAATCTATTAGAAAAAAAAAACAAAAAAAAGAAAGTAAATAAATAAATAAATAAATAAATAAATAAATAAATGAATAAATAAATGAATAAAAAAGAAAAAAGAATAAAAAAAAAAAAAGCCAATTTTCTTAACGTACAATAATAATGGATATTAATAAAAAATTATATAGTATACTTACATGTTAATAAGAGTAATACTCTTTTTTCTTTATATTCATATATCACAAACAATGAAAAAAAAATATTTCACAAATAGATTAGAAATATAAAATCATTGTATATATTTAATAAATAATATCAAGAAGTTTAATAATTTGGGAGGCAAAATTTATATAGAAACTCTAAGGGGTGCGTTAATATCACTGCCATCCGCGCTCTCTAATGGATATATTTATATAAAATTGATAAGATGTTACCGCTATACATGTGATATTTGAAAAAGTAAAAATATTAAATAAATAAAAATTTATTATAATATGGTAATAAAATTTTTCAAACGATCATTTGTATATTTTCTCACATAAATGTTGAATGTTAAATAAGATTTTTATTTTGTCCTTAAATATTTATTTTTTTTTTTTTGTTTTGTTTTTTGCAATATTTCATTTTACTATAGACGGTCTAGCTTTTAAGCGGGAACTTATCAATTTTCGCAGTTGGTTATACTGTGCAACTAGGCTAAACTTCAAATTTACCTCGTAGCTATAAATTCGGATAATTGCTAATAAACACAGCCATATAATAGGTGTATGAAAAGTATTAAAATTGTTGTTGTGATTTATGTGGTAAAACTACGAAAAAGAAAAGAAAAAAACAAAAATAAACTAATAAATAAATAAAGAAAAAAGAAAATGGCACAAAACAATGAAAATTTACGACGTTCCACTAGAATAAAGGCGCTCAGTAAATCTGAAAACATTGAAACGAATAAAGGTACTTTATTTATATATACTTTAATTTTTTTTATAATTTATTTCAAATGTTACGTATTAAAAAGTTACCGATTATATAATTATAAAGGATAAATTTTGAAATGATACTTAAATAAATATTATTTTTTTTATAAAATTGTTATAGGAAATCTTCAGGATAAGTTGATTGATTCTACAATAAGAGAGAAAGATCTATTGCAAGAAGAAATAAAGGAACAAATTGAAAATATTGATAAGGATATACATAAATCATTTGGTACAAATAATAGAAATTATTTTTCATCATTTTATTATGTATAATAATTATTGAATTATTTTTTGTATTTTCTTTTTTCCTTTTTAGAATTATTTAGTGAAAATGATGTTAGTGGTAAAAATATGTATCAGTTTGAAACGCCTAAGAAAGATGGTATGGTACAAAAGGCATATTTGTCTCGTAAATCATTTGATATGCAAAAGACTCGGATATACAAAGATAAAACTAGCAAAGACACTGATGTAAAGAATAATACTATTAATAAATCAATTAATAAAAAAGAAACTCTTCCTGAAATAGGTATTACATATATTTTTTTTTTTCTTTCTTTTTTTTTTTTTTTTTTTTTTGATATTATTATGATGTGATTTTTTAAGATTTCTATCACAGTGTTTTAAAAAATAATTTAAGAATTTCTTTATTAGAGATAATTTCAAGCGATAGCGAGAGTGTATCTGAAGAAAGTGAATTTGTACCTTCAGAGGATGAAACAAGTACGAAGTCAGAGTATGAAAGTAGTGATTATTCTGATCTAAGTAATGATGAAAATTTTAGCAAACAAAGTAAATTAAAAACTATACAACATAGATCTAATTTAGAATCTAAGTTAATAACTACTCCAAGAAGATCACAGACCAAATATAAAACTCCTTGCAAAGATTATGTGAGTTATAAGAAAATAAAGTTATCTTATAATATATTTAAATATAATTAAGAATATATTTTGTTGTAGCATATAAAAACTGATGAATATTTTGAGAATCAATCGCAAAAAGTTGTTACATCAAATCATACGCTTGCACGTCTTCGTAATTCCCGTTTTACCAGAGATAAATTACAAGAATTATTAGGAAATCAAAATCATATCACAAAAGAACATAAAAAGCTTATCTATTCTCTTTCAGAAGATTATCGTGAATTCTTTCCCATGTGGTACTTCATTATGGAGTAAGTTTTTTTTTTTTAAATTAGTAAAAAAAAACATATTGTTATTTTCTTCAATAAAAATTGATTAAGATGATATTTAAATTTCAGAGAAGGATATACTTTGTTGTTGCACGGTTTGGGATCAAAAAGAAATTTAATTAATGATTTTCATAATCAATTTATTTCTAATCATCCAACTTTAGTAATCGATGGCTTTTTTCCCAGTTTAACAATAAAAGATGTAAGGTACATTTATTTATCCTACAATAATATTATATTATATAAATTTATATTGTTCTTGTAAAAGATGTAATTTTCAGATTCTTGACGGTATAATAACAGATATTTTGGAATTGAATGTACCAGCCAATATAACAGAATGTATTGAACTCATTAAGAAAATATTAAAGAAGAATCCAAAGGACCGATTATATTTATTAATTCATAATATAGATGGTATAATGTTGCGCTCTAACAAAGCACAGGATACGCTTAGCACTCTTGCCAGAATATCAAATCTTTGTATAATGGGATCTATTGATCATATAAATGCACCGCTTTGTAAGTAATATGGATTATATTAATAATTTATTTCTTTTGAGAATATAAATTTAATTATATTCGCTTGACTCAGTATGGGATCATATGAAGCATTCAAAGTATAATTTTTATTGGTGGGATGCTACAACGCTTTTGCCATATGAAGCGGAGACTTCTTATGAGAGTTCCCTATTAATACAACACAGTGGAGCTCTTGCTTTATCATCGCTTCGTAATGTATTCCTCTCTTTGACATCGAATGCTCGAGCCATATATAAACTCTTAATACAGTATCAGTTGGATAATAGTAATACTAGTGATTTCTCAGGTAACTATATACATAAATATATGGATTGAATTTAATATACTATTATTATTATTATTATTATTATTATTATTATTATTAAAAAAAAAAAACTTTTTGAACACTAAATTTTTGGTACACCGTTTATTTAGGAATGGCATTTAAAGATTTATATCGAATATCACGAGAAGGCTTTCTCGTGAGTACTGATTTAGCTCTAAGAGCACAACTAACAGAATTCATAGATCATAAATTAGTACGAATGAAACGTAACAAGGATGGTACAGAATGTCTAATAATTCCACTTAATAATAATTTGTTGAAACAATTCCTTGAACAACATGAAAACTAAATGTTTATTATATATATATATATATTTATTTTTATACATTAAGCCAAAATAAATACAATTTTATATTTTATACATTTTTAAGGATAAGAGATAAATAAAAGTGTATAAGAAGTAAGGTAAGATAAGAACAAATTAAAAGTATTGACAAAAAAGAAAAATTAAAATGACACTTAATCGTACAATATATTATATGATTTTTAAATCCAAACAATTTTGTAGGATTCTTTGGAATATAATAACATTTTCAAAATATATCATAATTATGAATTAATCGGCCATAATGTTTATATCATATTATTCGATATTATTATGATATTATAAACAATTCGATGATGAAATTGAAGTAATTTTTTCTTACTTTTTTTTTGTTTCTCTTATTTTTTTGTGTTTTTTCTTTTTATTATTTCGATTTTCGACATTTACAAAAAAAAAAAAAAAAAAAAAAGAAAAACGTAATTCAAACGTACTCCGCGGGTAAAGTCGGACACGACAGGAAAATGATAAAGGTAGCAGCCCTCCCCTCCAACGGAACTGTAAACAAAAATTTCCATACTCGTTAAATCTATATTATACTTTATCTGTGGTATGACATGAAAATAGTCACGGGTAATCTAGAGTACTCAAGAATAAGCCGAAAATAATGATTGTCGTTAACTCTAATTAATATCTTCTCTATGTTACAAGGATGTTAATTACGGTAGAAATTTCAAATACATTTTCGTTAAGGACGGACGATAGTGAATGGCGGCGCCAGTTGTATTATCGCTTGCTCAGATCATTCTTACATACAAGTGTGAGCATAGCGGGATGACCGGGAACGCATATTATCTACAGGCTGGATGAAATGTCAGACCTGTTCGGGGGTGGGTGGATATACATGGATTGGTGAGAGGTTAAGAAGATCGACAAATTCAAACTTTTTGTGATTTTGGTATGTCCGAATATAATCATGTAACATTCATTCGATTATTTATATTTTTTCTCTTTTTTTTTCCTCTTCTTTCTTTCCTTTTTTCTTTTTTTTTTTTTCCTTTCTTTTCTTCTCTTTTCCTTTCTTTTCTTTTACGCGAATTATTTTATTCGTAGTACATATTACGTATATAATTGAGAACAATTTATACGTACGAATTTTTTTCCATTAATAGTATAAAATATATTCGTTGACAGATTTTAGAATTTAACTGATATAATAATATATCCTTCGATAATCTTCGATTCGTTTTATTTGATTTTTTTATTTTCTTTCTTTCTTTCTTTCTTTTTTCTTTTTTTTTTTTTTTTTTTTTATGTAATTAATCATGCAGAAACCGGTTGTATCTGAGATCTCGTTGCGTTGCCAATTTACGTATTAATGTTATAAACAAAATAGATTGACCTTCTAACGATAAATCAAACGACCTTGACTTTCTTGAATAATACGAACACGCTGTTAAAAGCAATAACTGAATAAATGGTTGCTAGGCTAGGTTTATGAATAAGTATGTATATGATGGCTCATAGATATTTTTGTGATATCTACAAACGAATTAAATTTGTTACAGCTGCCGGCCAATAAATAGGATTATTTTCAAAACGTGACACTTTGTAACTTTATGTCGTCCTTGTAATACGCGATTGTGTTCAAAAGAATTTCTTTTTGTTTTCATTTATGTAAAAAAAAAAAAAAAAAAAAAAAAGGATAAATTTAATTTGACACGTTTTACGTATAGATTTATATAAACAAAAAGTGTGATGTGATTTATGAGTCATCACGTTTCTTGAATTATAATACAGTAATCTTTTGGCAATTGCAAATTATGATATTTTAAAATGTCTATGTAATTAGAGAATGAAACAGAAATTTTCACTTACCCTTGTATTATTAATTATTTCTTTTATCAATTAAGATCAAATATAATATAGACATTTTATTATCATTAATATATATTTCAATTTATAGGTGATGCTGTTAGAAGCTTTTAGAATTCTACATAGCCAACCGGTCTTGCTCTACTTTGCATGTGAAGGTATAAAAAAAATATTATTTTTAATATATATATATACATTTGTAAATATATACATACATATACATATATTATTTTTTGTGGTTCTTTTTTTCTTTTGTTAAATATTGTTCAATATAATATATGTATATATA